TAACGGCATTTTTTAATTTGACAACCGTTATTGTCATATTGCAAATACTCATAAATCCATTTTCGCCTTGGTCGCCTTGATTATTTATACATAAAACTTTCTGCCTGCGAAGCATTAAAACAGCATATCTCCAATACAAAAAGAGATAATGGCATGATTAAAAAACAAAATGCTCACAAAAGATGAGGCTACAATGTGATTTGATTTAGCAATAGCTACTACAGCTGCTGCGCCCTACAGGGTGTTACAAAGTTCCGGCAATAAACTTCGTCTTATTAGTGTGCCCTGTATATCAAAATTAATTCGGAATAAAAGTTTCTGACGTAGCATCCGTTAGAAGGAATTAATTTACAATTTAAAAAAAAATCATCAAAATCTAATGAGTGAGTCTAATGAGTTTTTAGTGGCCGGTATTTTTTTCCGGTGAGTTTATATTCCCAGTCCAAAGAAAAAGAAAAAAAAGAAATATAGTCAGAGATAAACAAGGACAATATAATTGATTATTTCTCCTCAGCAATTAAAAAAAATATTTCATTTTTTATATGCTGATATCTGTCGAAACTTTCTTATTAAGATAAAATAAATAATATTTTAATATATTGTGAGACAGGTTAATAAATATAAATTTGAATAATATTCTTTAAGCCGGCATCCCACGACGTGGGACTTGGCGAGTTTGGCGCGCGATTTGGCGAGCCACGCTTCTCACAGTGATAGAAAATAGGAATCTAGAATTCCAAAAGTCTCTTAGTAAGAAAATATATTTTATTTCTTACAAAAATTATTCTATTTTCTTCTTTTTGTGTTTAAATATAACCATTGATATTTAAAGTAAAATTTATAATGCACAGGGTGAGTCAACGATGTGTTGGGGGTAGATATTTTCCTTATTTACAGTGATACAAAAAAATGTTAAATACAAAAGTTAATTAGGAAATTAGTGGTGCATAATTTAAAATTATTTTCAAGATAGTAACATTTCCGGTTATACCGAAAGTAGATGTCAACTTGCTTATTTTAAATAGAACCCTCTATATTATTCCATATTCGGATTTTATATAAAATTCTAGACATATCTCATTATACATTTTCATGTTGCATGTTATTTTTATGTATAATGTCCTATATGGACCTAAATTCAATGGATTTCGATATAATTTAAATTTCATGTCAAAAATGAAGTGTACAGGCCACAAAATACTTAGCTTTTTTCCTTATGGGATCATTAATTACTTAATTGGGAATGACTTTCTTGTTGAAGAGGACATAGTTTATGTGAATTATGTTAATTTTTGGTAATAATTTGATACATGGTGGTCAAAATCACACAAGAAAAATTTAATTAAAAAAAAATGTAAAAATTCAATGTTTTAACTGTGAACACCCTGTACAAACGCACGTATACGCAAAATGTTTATGGATATTTGAAAAGAAGAATGATTATACAAGACATCAGTGACAAAAGGTCCGAGTCGTAACGAGTCGCAAAAAAGTTCTGCTCCAATTTATATAAATTTGATTATTATTATGTTTAATTTTTTCCAGATTACTGTTGGTGTTTACTGTGAGTAGTTTTATTTTAAAAATAAACAAATCATGAAAAAAGTAAAATACTTACCTCCGTAAATATCCATCTTAATTTTGGTAAACTCAATTTGCCCAACACACCTCTGACAGCTCTTTTCAGTTCGCGTAAATAACTACAAATAATGTCTCCATGCCTTCTAATTAAATATACCATTTATGGAATTCCGTAAAAAATTGTTTACGGAAATATAAATTCAAATTTCCACTTTTTGTGATTCCTGAATATTTCTAAAGATAAAACGGAGATTGATTCGTTATCTTACAACCAAAAATTGGACTTTTGGAATTCTAGATTCGCGTTTTCTATCACTGTGCGACGGTTGCGCGCAAATTTGCACTCGCTACGCGCCGCGCCGTGGGAAACAACCACGCTCGCTGACTCGCCACTTGGCGAACTGACTTGCCAAGCCGAAATTCGCCAAGTCCCGCGCCGTGGTATGCCGGCTTTAATAGGAGACAAAATTATAATTAATCATTTTAATAATTTTGTCGGAAATAATCATATTATTGTCATAGCTTAACAGCAGTAAAAAATGTCAGTTTAGGCTAATACTAGATAAGTTTTTAGAAAAATAGTTCAAAATAACTATACAAATTATCATTTGCATTTTGATTAAACAATTTGTTCCTACCAATAATTCTTATATCTGACTTCTTCGCTAATTTCGTAACATGTTTAAAATAATCGCCAGTATATATAAAAGAGTATGATAATAATTATAATAAAGTTACATGCTGTTAAATGCAGAAATAATATAAAATATTATAAATAAGTATAATATAAAAAATAACTTGTAAATTTAGTTAAGTTCCTAATAATGTTATATTTATACATATCAAAACTCTAATATCTAATCTACTAATTATATTTATACAATAAAAATCCTACTAAAAATCACAGTTAATGGTAAAAAACCTTTGCAACTTTAATATCAACGTTGTCTAGATAATTCTACTTCACTATTTCTTTTCTTATCCGAACAGCCTTCAAATTAGCAAAGATGGGTGTATTCCGTTGCTTACCTTGGTTATGGTTTTATGTTCCGCTATCGGTTCCCTGAAAGTTTGCTTATTACGGAACACGGTTCCTGAAAAATTCGGTTATAACCATCAAACTAACCAGCGCGAGAAGGCTGGTTTTTCTGGTTTTGTTTGTCAATGTCATTTATGTGAGAGAAATCAAGCAAATATTGGAAGTTCGCCTGAAATTCTCATTTAATTTCTAAAATTTGTAATAATATTTTGTATTTACATCCAAAAGCAATGGAGGTAGGCAGTAAAGGTAAATAAATTTCATTAACTAAATACAATTACTTTTTAGAACCATTTAAACTTATCATGCAGCCATTGTTTCTTAAAGCCTTAAGCATTTAAGGAAAACATGAACAACGAGACAACAAGTAATCGAGAATGTTTTGTATGCTATAAAAATATAAATATTGATTAGATTCGTTTATTTATTATTGATCTACTTCAATATTGGACCTGCAAATCTTCACTTGAGCTGTCTAACGAGTTTAACAGTTTATTAATAAAGTACTTTTCAATATTAAACTCCATTAAAAAGAAGAAGCAAACCTAAAAGCAGAGAACAGGTACATCAAAAATGCATAAAAGATAAATTTTTAATAGAGGTATTGAAATTTAGAAAACGTCAACATTTGACGTTTCCAGTATTTTACCAAACCGTTCCGTATCAAACCGATATTTTTCAGGAACCGCTCTTTACCGTAGTTTACCGGTCTGGTTTGCCTGGTTTTGCAACGGAATACAGCCTAATTATTCATTTTCTTATATAGATATACCGTATGATCGAAAAATGATGGTCCATAAAATAATGAGTACTTAAAAGACGTAAAAAGTTTCCAAATATAAAGATTGATTTTCATGCATCCGTTGTCCGATGATACGATATTAATTTTATTGGTTAAATTTAAATTCCAATGGTTAAAAAATTACGCAATTTTTTTTAATTTATTTTATTTTCATGCCTCCGTTCATCGGATATACGATGCGCTTGTCGTCATTTTATATTTTCATTTTTATGATTATTATAACGATTCCGCTGTTTTACTCATAGTCTAAGAGCTAGCGTTTTCGGGAGAGAATTTTAAGAAAGCTGGTTCTTTCAAATATCTTTGCTATGCTTGGCTTTCAAATATCTTTGTCTCACCACTGCGCATCCATATCTGTATTCAACATCTGTTCACTACTGCGCATCAAAAATTCGCCATGAATTTCATGAACTAAGGAGGCTAGGACAAACCTATGTGTAGTATATTTACTTTCATAAAAATTACCAAAGTAATGTGAAAATCGCATCATTGTATCTCTACTCATAAGCGAGAAATCTCATAAAACGCACGAAAACTAGATATCCTGTACATATGTGATGCGCAATATAGTGAACCGCAGTAGTTTACCGGCAGCCAGACGGCCCACACTTTGGTCAGGAGAGCACAGGGGAGCATAACAAAAGATATATCAAAGAACCAGCTTTCTATATTTTTATTAAGGTTAGATTAAATTCACAAAGAAGCGCCAAAACGTCCGTTATCGTATGATCTATCTCCGTTGACGGGCTGGAGTAAAAAATATTCGGACTGCAACCAATCAGATCGTATCAACGGATAACGGAAGCACGAAAATCAAGCTTAAATCTGCATCCAAAGAATAAAATTGACTGAATAGATCTTTACACAGTGACGCCATTTTTTGATCGCATGGTATAGTTTACATTACAATAAACTAATTGCTTCCATATTCAAATCTATCCAACGTCAATATTAAAGTATTTTAAATAAATCACAAAGAAAAATAGATCACAAGTTTAAAGATTAAAAAGATCTTTATTAATACTACGTCTAATAATATTATTTATAAATAATATATAATGCTGGAATGTATTATGAAATTTTAAAATTTCGTCATATTAGTATAATTATGAACAAAAATTGGAATTTTAAGACCATCGTTAATACAGTCAGATGCCACATTAAGCAATTTTATTATAAATTTAAATTTATTTTATAATTTGCTATTAATTTATTAGTATACAAATCACATAAGTAAGTAGGCTAATTAATTTTAGCTAATAAGTGGCTCTAAAATAAACTAAGCTATTAATTGTTTAAAATTTGTTTTCATAGAGTCTCCTAGTAGTTTAAAAATATTTTTTATTTATTTATTACTTATTCGTTATTGATCAGTCCGTTTTTTCTATAATCCACATAAACCACATAAGAACATTATTGTAATGTTGTTTTAAAATGGAATTAGAGATCTCAAAAACAAAATAAATATATCAACGGCATCTTAACATGTCATTAAATTTTATGTACCATTTTTGCAACTATTAATTAAATATATTTTTCATTCGCCTATCTTCCTAAATATTTTTCTTCACCAACTCACTTCTGAATTTTAAAAAACCTATCTAATCTTTTAAGAACACTTTTTTTTCTCTAACCATTCGGTTTCATAGCCTACCATTCGCTTATTGATTGCCCACGAACTCTTGTGCACCACCACTTATCAATATAACTATACAACACTTTGCTTTAATATATACCACGACCATATCTATTCCATCACTTCGTATTCTCACAAGAGTCGAACCATCGCATCGCGACAATTTTAACTTTATTTTATTCGAACAATTGAATAATAGTATAGTCTTATGTACTGTATAAACATACATTTATGTGTTATGTATTTGCGGTTGTCTTTGCCATGTTTACGGACACCCACACTCGTCTACAACCATTTTTGGCAAGTCTCTTTTGATTATCGTTGATTCGGGACCGTAGTAAATTAGCGACATGCTCGAAAATTTTAACGGTGCACAACAAGGCGTCATGCCAGAGAGGTGCTGAGTTTTTCTCGCTTCTTCTATCACGTGAGTGTGGTAGGTCACGAAAGTGTCAGGAGTCCGGTGATGGCCGCAGTCTCCTCTGCAATAGTTAGCGTAATACCTGAAATATTCACAAAAATAATCTAATAATATAAAAGCCAAAGCAATAAAGGTACATTCAGGCTGAGAGCGTCGAGCGTCGCGTCGCGTTTGCGTCGCGTCCGCGTGTCGAAATGGAATCAATTCACTTAACTTAAATTAGACCGTTCAGGCAGACAACGTCGCGTTTGGCGTTGCGCTAGCGTCCGCTGAGCGTCGGGGTTCGAGTTCAATGGGGCGGACGCGACGTAAAGGCGACGCGACGCTCGACCCTCTCAGCCTGAATATACCTTAAGACTCTAAGTCTCGGTCTCAATATAATATGACCGAATTAAATTGTTACACGTGTTTCGCTCATACGAGCATTATGAGATAAATTTACAGGTCAGGTTACACCGCACACGTTTACATCTTACATATTAAAACAACACTAATGTGTGTAACGTGTGTGGTGTGACCTTATCTGTAAACTTGTCTGATGATGCTCGTATGAGCGAAACACGTGCAACAATTTAATTTGGTCATATTAAATGTTGAGACCGAGTCTTAGAGTCTTATTGTTTTGGCTATTCAGGTTTCTTTGAGTTCAATGGACGCCTTTTTTAAAATAATCTCAGGTAAAGTATTTTCGAAGTTGCTTGGACTGATATAAGACTTAAGTTTATACGACAACGACAATAGCGCCGGTCGAGGCAGTTGAGAAAAAAACTAAGAGCCTCAAAACATACAAGGTCGCTGTTATGTATGGAAACGGTCGATTATTAGGTAAAATAAAGGAGGTACCGCAAAAAGTTAAATATAAAAGTTATAGGGTTTTAAATATCTATTAGCGGGTAATAAATTTAAGTATACAGGGTCGGTCATAAAGTCGTGGCACATCGAAGTTTCATTTTTTTAATAGAACCCCCTGTATATTATTGCATATTTCGGTTCTTCCTTCAATTCTAAGGAAAAATCGAAATACACACAATGTACCTCAAACCAACCATTTCCTAGTTATTGACTTTTGAAAATATCACTTAAACAATTTGATTTAATTAATTTCGATATGTTCAGTTTAATTTAACGATGCCATTCTGCGAAAACTCTGATACTTAATAATATTTGACATTAGTTCTCAAGTTAGCATTTATAGATGTATAAAATGAGAGTATATCAAGTCTGGAAATTCCAAAATTTTCATTTACATAACATTTTAATTCTTCAATTTATGTACATTGTGTATTACAATTATTGCTTAAAAGTGAAAGAAGAATTGAAATATGCAATAATATACAGGGGGTCTTATTTGAAAAAATAAAGTTTGATTTGACACAACTTTATGACCGACCCTGTATATTTAAATTTACTAGTAGCTAATAGGAATTTAAAACTCCACTACAACAGTATTACAGTTTCGGCAGAACGGTATTACTAAATCAAACCAAACATATCGAAATTAATTAAATTGAATTGTTTAAGTGATATTTTCATAAGTCAATAACTCGGAAACGGTTGCTTTGCGGTACATTGTGTGTATTTCGATTTTTGCTTAGAATTGAAGGAAGAATTGACATATGTAATAATATGCAAGGGGTTCTATTTTAAAAAATAAAAACTTTGATGTGCCACGACTTTACGAACGACCCTGTATACTTAAATTTATTACTCGCTAATAGATATTTAGAAATCCTATAACTTCTAAATAAATAACTAATAATAAAGAAGAACTAATAAATAAATACACCTAACAAACACCGAAGAAACAATTACAAAAACAATTTATAAATGTTTTAAATAAACATTTATATTCAATTGAAATTGTTCAACGTATATTTGTGTCAATAAAAATGGATAGCTTACCCTTGTGGCGCTATTACCCAGTCGTCCCATCCTAAAGCCTTAAAACTAACGTAAAATCGTTGTTTACAACATTGATTTCCTGAAATTAAAAGAGAAAATAGATATTTAATTCAATAAAAGTACTTATCAAAAGAAATTTCATTTGATAAAAAGTTACAGTTTTTGTACATATTTTTTTACCATTTTACGATAAAATACAGAGTGAGTTTCCTACGATGTTCCGAGATACCCATAGAGATAGAACATAGAGAGTCGGTTAAATGGGGAAAGAATTGCAGTTTTGTGAGGTCATAAATATGCGCCTTTCAGATTTTTGAAAAAGATCATGGCTTACTAGATATTTCGAAAAGAATAAATTTTGGCTATTTTAAAAATTGTCCATAATTCTATTATAATATATTTTAGACAAAAAGCTTTCAGCTAAAAGCTGTAGATAATCACATCCCTAATGAGTTTGTGTTCTCCAATTTTTTCTAAAGCCTGTCATTTTTGACATATGACACAAACATCAAACATATTTTTTTAATGGAAACCATAGTTGGCCATAACTTCATAAAAAGTGCCGTTTTTTAAGCTTTTCAGCGATATAAGCTATAATATGTTTTTTTTCACAAAATTACTGAGTTATAGTCATTTCTTATCTTTCTTAACTAATTTCACTTAGTTAGCTATGGAAACAAGTTCAATTGTCGTCAAAAAATTACTGAGTTATAACCAATTCTTATCTTTCATGACTAATTTCACTTAGTTGGCATGATGTTCTTATTTTGTTCATTTATAACTTAATAAATAATAAAAAGACAAAATATATTATTAAAGGGCTCTTTACAATTTACATTACACAAACTAAAACTTAAAAGAAATACTATCACTACATACACTTTAAGTTATTTTAGAAAATGTTCAAAAAATCCGTCATTGTTTTGAGTACATGCATCTTTTTAAAACTGAATTTCTAGCTATTCTCACAGAGCGACCGGTCGCCTTAACTAAACTTTTCCTGTACCACCTCTTCAGTGCCTCTCTTAATTAATAAGTTCTTCTGTAAACCTTGTTGTTAACCATATCGCATAATAAAAATCTAAAGTCAGGTGATCGAGGAGGCCCATGCAATTTGTCTACCTATTTCTATCTCTGAGTCTACATAATTATGATATAAATAATTTTTAACACTTCTTTCATTGTGGGTGGGGGGTGGTGTGTCATAATGAAAGTCATGTTGGAACCACTCAATTAATGCGCGAGTATCTAAATTTAACTTTTTTAAAATGTCTTGAAAACCGTTCTCTAAAAAACCTAAATAACGTTCATCGGTCACCGTATCCTCAAAACTGTACGGCAAAGAAAAGTTAAACCAATAATCCTACACGCTTTTCTTCATTTGAAAAATCATATTTACAATTTTTGATTATTTTAATTTACAAAGTTTAGATGTGACAGTTTCGCATTTCTGAGAGCAACGACGATTTAACTTGTTTCCATGGCTAACTAAGTAAAATTAGTCAAGAAAGATAAGAATTGGCTATAACTCAGTAATTTTTTTATGACAATTGAACTTCTTTCCATGGCTAACTAAGTGAAATTAGTCAAGAAAGATAAGAGTTGGCTATAATTCAGTAATTTTGTTAAAAAAAAAATATTATAATAAAAAATGGCGCTTTTTATGAAGTCATGGCCAAATATGGTTTCCATTAAAAAAAACATATGTTTGTGTCATATGTCAAAAATGTCAGGCTTTAGAAAAAATCAGAGAACACAAACTCATTAGGTATGTGATTATCTACAACTTTTATCTGAAAAGTTTTTGTCTAAAATAGATTATAATGGAATTAGGGACAATTTTTAAAATAGCCAAAATTTGTTTTTTCGAAATATCTAGTAAGTCATAAACTTTTCAAAAATCTGAAAGGCGCATATTTATGACCCCACAAAACTGCAATTCTTTCCCCATTTAACCAACTCTCTATCTCCAGTAGTTTCCGAGACACCCATAGAAAACATCCTAGGAAACTCACCCTGTATAAAATTTTCAATTACATATTATGTATCAAAACATCTCATAATTTATCTTCTGTAATTACTATTTAGAACATTGACGATAATTGTCTACTACTAAAGATTCCGTAATACTTACAATGGAAGATTATAATATTAGAGTTGTTTTTAAATATAACTTTTTAATAATAAGATATGAGAGATCTACATAATTAATTAAGTTTTAAAATTATTCCTGACCTGAATCTACTGAACAGTCTATTGCTCTCCTCCTTACTCGTTTCGCTGTGTTAGGATCAGTGTGAATGACCAAAAAAGGTCTATTTTGATTTAGCTTCTCCTGCCTCTCTTCATTGAAGAGATGAATGCGCCACTGACTGCAACAGCTACAGTCAACAAACAGCCGCAGCTTATCTTTGCTGGATTCGGTCAGCCATTTGCGGACAGTCTGCGTAACTTCGATTTTCTGCCATCCACTGCTAGATTCGTTTAATGTGACAGCAACAGGATCTGACGTCACTCTATCAAATTGCTGTAAATATAAAAGAAACGTGGATCATACAAACACAAATTATGAAAATCATATATTTCCGTTGAATTAAAACGAAAAATTAATAATAATTAATTGGTGAATTATTAAAGCGGTTCACAAGAACACATTATACAGGGTGCTACAAATTCGAGGTACGAGCACTGGTATCTCAGTAACCGTAATAGATAGGAACATGGTTAAATTGGGGCAAAGTTGCGCTTTGAGATTTTCACCAAGATTTCAAGGATTGCTGAGTTTTTTTGGAAAAAATGGATTCTTTTAAAAATCAATTTAATTTTTTCCTGTCGTTACTTTTTTGAAAATAAAAAAAAAACTAATTGCACATTCTCATAGCCACTTTATTAGGGGTATCTGGCGGTATTTGTAGATTTTCAAATTAATTAACTTAATTTTTTTTAAATACGGACCTGTATTTTTTATTCCAGCCTTTGAAAGAACTCGGTCTCCTGAATACAATGATAAGCCACACTTAATATATTTATTTAAACACAATTTATTTAAACTAATTTCAAGTCCGCCTCTGTTTTTGTTAATATTTAATCTATTCATCCTAACAATATTTATAAACCTTCAAACTTAACAATGACGTGGGTTAAAACATTAAATACGGAAAATCAAATGCAATAAAAAATAATATAAAATAATATAAATATAATATAATATAATATAAACAATCAAATCATTTCCCCGGAAAATGGATTGGAAATGGTAGAGCAGTATAAATGCCAGCGAGGTTTCTGGACTTGTCGCCAAGGAGCAGGAGGAGAGGGGGGCATTACTTGATGTCATTTGTAAAAGTGAAATTAATATTTTTCAACATTTACAATAAAGAGTACAAAATGCATTCGGAAATATAAGAAGATATGTTCAAAGGGCTATAAATAAAATTGAATGAATAATAAATTTGTGCAGTAGGTAGAATGGTTTGGTTTGGTTTGGTAGTAGTTTTGATGTAGAGTATTAGAAACTAGTTTGTAGCACTTGATTTATTTATAATAACTACGATTAATATTATGCATATTAATAGATCGTACACTTAGATTTCAAATTCACAATAAAAAAGTTAAAAATAATATCTTTAAATTGCCGACCTGGGTATTATTTATTTGAATCTTTCAATTGGCTCGATTTTACTTATTCAATGTTAATAAGCGCTGATCAATATTGTTGCAATGAATATAATCAGATTAAATAATTTGAAAAACAAGAGTCGGACCTGGAATTATTTTTTTAGTAATTAAATAATTTTGTTGTTATTAAGGTATCCAAAACAAAAAAAAGTATAAAGTATGGTATATCATTGTACTCAACAGACCGACTTCTTTCAAAATCTGAAATAAAAAATTCAGGTCCGTATTTAAAAAAAATTAAGTTGGCCTCTGTATCTCACAAATTATCAGCTAATTTGAAAATCTAAAAATACTATCAGATAGCCCTAATAAAGTGGCTATGAAAATGTGGCTAAAAAAAGTAATGACAGGAAAAAATAAAATTGATATTCCAAAAAATCCGTTTTTTTTTCACAATCCTTGGAATTTTTAAAAGTTTTTTGATGGTATCTTGGTGAACACCTCAAGGCGCAACTTTGTCTCAATTTAACCATCTTCGTATCTATTATGGTTTCCGAGATACCAATGCTCGTACCTCGAATTTGTAGCAGCCTGTATATAAAACTTTAAAATACGTCAAAATTTTAAAATGCCCGTTTTTCGTGCAGGTGATATGAAAAGTTGCTGTTTCCAAAAAAGCAGTTATCCTCCTATTTTTTCGCTTGTTCAAATAATTTATAAAATATAAATGTACTCACCTTAGAACTAAGGGTAACTGATTCGGGTAACCTATTAGATATGATTTTAAATACAAATATATCCGTCGTTCGACATTTGGTCGCGTGCTTCTTAACGATATCCGCTTTCAGCCATAATATCGCCTCTCTCACTCTGAATTCCTGTCCAATATGGCCATCCGTATCGGGACTAACTTGAAATTCTAAAAGGCGGTTTTGATTCACCCATGAACCTGTAGAAAAATAAACTACTTTTAGATTCACTCCAGGGGTCTACTAGATTTATTTCCTTAATATTATTAATAAAATTGAATCCCATCAAAAATATAGAATGTAAAAAATGCCAAGTCTCGCAACACAATTCTTTCGCTATTAAAAGTTGTGAGATCTCATGTAAAACCAAGTCAGTTTATTTTATTTAGTCTCTCTTTAAGCACCTATTCAACAATTTTGTTATAAATTGTTAGTGTCAATATTAGTCATCTTTATTTCTGTAATAATTATAATGACTTGGCAATTGCATGCACGGCACCATAATTATAAAAAAGAATAATCTACTATTTCGATTACTAAGTAAATCTAAACGGTGCCCTTAAGAATAAAGTTTTTAATTACTATAGAATATCATATCGTGCAGGCTCCAAGGAGAACGACAGTTTGTATTTAGATGAAATTTTGTGAGCATTATGTATGTTAATTCAGAGCACTTTTTAAAAATATAGAGACTTCTGCCGGTTTTTTTTATATTTATAACATTGTCTGTCTGGAAGCAAAATACACAGGTCCAAAAACGAATAAATTTTAAAGCATATTTAATGGACTAAAATAGCGCCATTTTGGACTTAATGAAAGTGAAAATAATTTACAAATTTAAATTATAGTTCTTAAGGTGGCTACACACACTACTGCAAGCTTGACAAGCATGCATGAACAATCTTTTTGTACAAGCCATGCATAATTTACCTTCGCCGCCACACGGTACATGCATGCTTGAACAAGCTTCAGTTTATGCCGCGAAAAAGAAGAAGGAAGTCCGAAGAAAAAGAAGAAGGAAGTCCGCGAAAAAGAAGAAGAAACCCTGAAGGCATTTATATTTTTAATAACGGCATACTTATCGGCTTGGCTGTCAATTAATCTATACTTATTAAGTAAAATTTTGTATGCTGCACCCTTCTTCACCCTATCATGTTATTCTGGTGATTTAATTCGCCGAAGACACGGCTGATTTTCGTATGCGTGAATAAAATCTTCTAATAATCCTCGATTGCTCCTTTTCAGATCGCTAGACATGATGGCGACGCGACGTACAGGTCATTTACGATCACGGACTGAACTAATTGTTTGTACAAGCTGAATACATGTGGTACACACGTACCGTTTCGATTACGCAAGCATGGCTTGTCCATTGTCCAAGCTTGCATGATTCAAATTCAATCAATCATCAAGGGGCTTGCACAATTAAAATGCTTGCGCAAATTTTCCCTACAGACGCTACAGTTTGCTTGTACAAAAAGATTGTTCATACATGCTTGTCAATCTTGCAGTAGTGTGTGTAGCCACCTTTAGAAGATATGGTAGATTTTTCATGGATATAGCTCTATATTCTGGAAGAAATCTAGTAAAATTATATTAAAATTGGCCACTTGCAAATTTGTCGAATTTTATTGACAGGATGCGCTTAGCCTAATTTTTTTACGAGAATGGTAGCAGGCCGAACTTGGAAAACAGTGAAGGCGTTATCGGTAAAATAGTTGCGTGATTTTATTAAATTTTTATTATTTATCTCCTTAGTTTTTTAATTTTTATAAAGATTATGTCTCATTTACGTGAAATAAATAATAAAATTGATTAGGTACTTTGGAAGCTTTTGTACAAGTAATATTACTAACAATATTAAAATAAACAATATTATTTAAAATATTTAGAGCACGCCCATGAATTGCTCGTGTAGAGATAACTTTATTTCTCTCCTTACCCTTTACGGATACCCTGTATTTACAGAATGGATCGACGCAGGGTCGGACTGACCATATAGTCAGGTTGGAGATTGCATGCTGCGCCGGGCCCCAACCTTAGCGGGCTCCACTAATAGTTCATTATCTATTCTTAAATACAAATAAAACAGAAAAAAGTGACGGTAATATTCTGAGGTTATCCCTAAAATGTTTTTTTATTTAACAATATTTGCATTGCAATTTGATTGCATTGCATTTTGGTTTACTTTGCATTACGGGTAGTTTCCTGACTTCTAGAGAAAAACTGACCAAAACGTAAGGCGAAAAAATACGCAAAAAACTCGAGCCCCTCTGGCCTAGTCCGACCCTGGATCGACGTACTGCACTAAAGAAAGGTACGAGTAAAGAATTAGCGTATTTGCTTCAGCGTGATCGTAACGGAAATTATGGAGATAGCAGCATTTCGGCGGCTATTTCAGATCACTGAGAGTTAGCAGATATTATTGAGCTTTTTGACAAATTTTTTAATTGTAAAGAAATTAGCTGCTTTCCATTTTTATAGAGTTTTTTTTCTAACGGTATAAAAAAAACTTATTGAGTTAGCAGGTTATCATGTTTCACTGACGAAAACTACTTAGCTATTCCTACAACAATTCCTATTACTACATTAATACTTTATTATAGCCAATAATGTTTATTTTATTTAAGTACAGTTGTATTATTTTTGTTAACTTCTTGCTTAAAAACTCAGTAAGTATTTAAATATATTTAATGTTTCTAATATACATAATTGTTTTAATTTTAATGCGATATTAAAACAATGCTTAATTGGAAATTGTAATCTACGAATGAGGGAGGATAAATACCAATCCTATCAATATGCTTCTGGTCAAAGTAACAATGTCACCGTTCTATGCCATAACATACTATAGTTTGCCCATATTAATCGATACATTCCAAATGTCGCGGTTAATTAAATCAGATTCTACTTAGATGCATGTGGAATCCTCATAGTTGAGTGCTTTTGAACGTAACCATTGGATATCTCTACCGGGTGGTGAATCACCAACTAACAATGTCTGTTTTAAAAATGTCGTAAGAACGTTTACAGAACTATTTTTATAAAATAACAGTATTGCGATAAACATTTCAACAACGTTTATGCAATGCTTATAAACCCAAAAAGGGCGCACTTTTGTGCAGCAATTTAGTTCTTTAATTTGTTTTATTATAGTTTCCATAGCTTTTACCGGACAATTACATAAACATTTACAAAATTATTATAAAATATTATTTGGAACAATTACAAAACACTTTTATTGAAAACAGTTACAGAGTTAAATAGTTTACCAAAATTATGACAATTATACAACAATTGTCGAACTAGAATAAAACACTTTTATAAAAGTTGTTTTGTTATACCAGCGGTTCCGATTTTGCTTTGACGAACACTATGAAAGGATGCTTTTGTTGTTCCCACAGAGAATAATTTATTTTTTTATCATCGTTCTGGGAACAAAAAAGCTAAATATCGCGTCTTCTGTCACAATTTTAAAAACATAATATATAGTTATGTCTGAATGTACACCAGCCATATTGCATTTATACTTTTATTCATTTAAAACTTCCCAATATGGCGGACTTCAGTATGGGAGGCTTAAAAAACGAAAATCTCTAAACTGGAATCGACTGTACTTCAAATCGTTCAAATTGATAATCTGTGGTAAATCCAATTGAACTGACACTTGGTTGACATTGACGTTTACGGTTCCTTTTTCTAAATATTTTCATTATTTTTTGAGTTTTTATTCACAAATTCTACTTGATTTTGTTCTTTTATTTAACCTGCAACCTGCAGTACTAGTTATTATATAGTTATAAATAATCTTTTCACCGATCAAGAATTGACGAATAGGCTGGAAGATATTGAAAATGTGTAAAACGCTTAAAAACGTATTAGAAAACATTGACTCGTTCACAAATTCGTGAAAATAAATTAGTCCAGATGTTTGTGAAAAGGTCTCTAATTATTTTGAGAAATTTCCTCGTATCAGTAATTTTCAGGTTTGTAATATGTACTATATGATAATAAATAGATTAAAACTTATTTTTCAGGAAACAGCGCGGGCATTACAGATTGTTATAAATCAGTTTTAAAATATAAAGAAGGTTTAAAACAGATTTAAAAGTTCAGTTAGTAATTATAATGTGGGTAATGTTTTGATTATTACAGTTTGCATGGATGTTTTTGTATGTTGTTATTTTTAATAAAGTATATTTAATGAGTTTTTGATAAAGTATATTTAATGAATTTCTTTTTTCTTCAGAGGATTGTGTTCTAATCTTTATATATTATAAATTTTCATAAATTATATCTACAAAATTTATTACCTTATAATTTTTTGCTAAATACTTTGTAGTTGATACAGTTTAACAGTATATAAAAGAACTATTTAAATAAGATGTTTGAAAATATATAGCTGTTTTTGCACACATCAATTCAATTTGTGATTAACTGTACTGAAGTAAAAACAAATTAAGAGAAATGGGGTGATCTATCAACTATAACATGAAAAGCATCATCCTATTTCCAAGTCTTCTACTAATTTCACTTATTAAACAACTATAAATAATCAATTTCAATTCAATAATCTTGATAATTCTAGGAACTCTCAGATATCGTCAAAACATGAAAACAAAAATTTACTTCTTATAGTTCTTACGTCCCTTTAACTGAAATATAAGAAACAGGGGAGTTAATATTCTCATTGAGAAAGTTTTTAAAATACCTTTAAGTAAAATTTCTTCGGATCTGCGGTAAAATACCTTTATTCTTATTAAATAATTTCAATAATCTATGTTTTTATTTATGACAACCACCTAATACCTAACTTTAACGTCAATTTGACAATCCTGGAAAAATATTATTATTAACCAAAGAGTAAATCAATTTCTGAATTCGCTAATGACAACTTATTTCTCATTAAAAAAAAATTACCAATTTTCGTAACTAGGTCGGCCATATTGAGGAACTTTTAAAAGAATAGTACTATAGCTCTGACCATAAATAGCCAATCATAGGTAAGAAATTCGGTATGCCATCTGAGGATTGATATTTTACTGCGAGGAAATTTTTTTTGTATAATATATGGTATTTAAATAGCAAAATTTTCAAGCGCCTTAAATATGTTATCTCTTTTTGAGATTTAAGAGAAAGAATCACAAATACTATTTCGTGTTTTTCTTTCATTTGGCCTGTACTGTAATAAAATACCCTA